ACTGAATTCTTACAAATACAGAGAACAATTGAAAGTAATTGCAAAGTTACTTATTTTACTTGTAATACAAGGTCTTTATCTTCCTTTTAGAACAGATGAATTTAATTTATTCTTGATGTTAGAGATCTCACAACTTATTGTGAAGGTCGTAGATATCATTCCAATTATTTATTTTCCTTATAAAGAATATCTGGCGGTGAAATTTATACAGTTTTTTGACTGTATATATAGCATTGGTATAACTATAGTGTATATAGCACTAATATCAACCAATGTTGGGGTTAGCAACCAATTTAAATAGTAAGTGTTTTTGTTTAATTTTAGTTCAGTATTCTTAATACAAGCATACTACGTCATCATTCACTCCTTGGAACTTTATGTTTCATACAAGGATTATAAATACTACGGTAATGGATTAGGATCAAAAGCGGTCTATAATGAAGAAGCTAAGCTAGTTTAATAAATTAAATCCATAAATAATTTAAACGTAAAATTTATTAGCATGAATAAACAATGCCCTGGTATTGGCAGTAAAGATAGAGGGAAAGCAGAAGCATGTAAAGGATGTCCAAATGCAAATGCATGTGCATCATCAAAAGAGGACATAGACATACTAGTTATCAAGCGTAATCTTAAATCACTTAAATTAAAAGTAGCAATAATGAGTGGTAAAGGAGGTGTAGGAAAGAGTACAATTACTTACAATCTAGCATATTCACTAGCCAAAAATAACTTAAGGGTTGTTTTAGTAGATTTTGATCTAACAGGACCAAGTATTCCAAGACTTTCTAATACATTTAATGAGTGTATTCAAGAAAAAGAGAACAGATTTGATCCCATTAAAGTACCAAATGTTAATAATCTCTATGTAATATCATCTAAGCATCTTACTGTGCTTGAATATGATGAAGGAATTGGAAATTCAAAACACAAGAACAAGTATATTAAAAAGATTTTAAAAAACTGTAACTTTAATGACTTTGATATTATGATAATTGATACACCACCTAACATAACAGATGAACACTTAGCATTAGTTCATTATATTGGCATAGATTATTCTATCTTAGTGACAACACCAAGTAAGTTAACTATAACTGACTTGAATAGAACATTATCATTTTGTAAGAAAGCTAATATTGAAATTTATGGAGTTATTGAGAATTTTAAATCTTTTGAATGTCCAGAATGCAAAACCTTGAATTATTTAAAAAAAAGTGAAAGAGGTAAAATTTTTGTAAAGGAAAATGAAATAAAGTATCTGGGAGAGATACCACATATTTGTGAAATAGCACGTAATTCAGACCAGGGTGAACCAACAAAAATTAAGCAAATTGAACAAATCTCAAAAATTATAATTGGAGATTTTTTTAATTTTAAAAAATTTTAATCCAATAGACATGAAAAGAATATCAACAACTCAAGCAATGCGAAATATGCAAGAAGCAGGATCATTTGGAGTGTTAGAAACAGAGGATGATTTAATAGTTTATTCTTCTGATTGTTATAACTACAAGACCTGCGTTCTGACAGGATTAAGTGATATATGTTATTTTGAAGCAGCATTATTAAATAGTGAAGGAGAAGTAAGAATAGGATTTGCAGAAGAGAACGTGGATCTTTTAGGACCATTGGGAACAGACTGTCATGGATTTGCACTGGGTAGTAAAAATGGATACGGATTTTCCAAATCAAAGAGAATAAATTTTGGTGGGAGATACCGAAAACACGACATAGTAAGCTGTGAAATAATTAGAAAAGATTCAAATAAATTTGTAAAGTTTTACATAAATGGAGTGCATTCATTTAAAGACTTTGAAGTTCCTAATAACATAGTGCTTTATCCAGCATTTTCCTTGTATGGTTTCAGTAACATATCTTTAAATTTTGGACCATATTATGCTTATAAAGATTTAATTGAAAGAAGAGCGAATGCTGAAAACAATAATTAAATTAGAAATCTATTATTTATTCAAATAAAGCTTATCTCCTTCTATTGATACGTATTTTTTCGACTGTAAATAGTTGATAAAAATTTTAAGCTTTCCAGATGAAGTAGTACTAAAACGTTTTATGAGTTGTTCAAAAGAAACAACCTGTTGAGATTTAATGAAGTCTTTAAGTTCAATGAATACGGGTTCAGATTTAAGGGTTTCAGGAAGATGATTCATTAAGTCACTGTAAGGAATTGAAGAATCATCAACAAACGTTTCTAAATTTTCAATTTGAACAGTGCTTTTAAAAACATCTGGCAACGTATCAGCAAAAGGATCGTCAATTATAACTTCTGATTTGGTATTAGCAAGTGAAAATAAGCTTTCATCATTCTCGTTGTACTGGAAAAAGTTAATCCAGTGTTGTGAATTATCCTTAATAATACTCATATCTTTTCTAAGTTTCTTTATCTTTGTTTTAATTTCTTTTAACTCGTTTTTTATAAGAGAGAGATTGTTATCAATCTTTTCTAAGTAATTTATTGAAGCTTCAGTATCTTCTAAAAATCCCATTAACTTTTATGCCCTAATTAATGGAGAATAAAAATGAAGGAATGTCAGTTAAAATTCTAGATAAGTTTAAACAATTAATTAATAGCTTATTAAAAGGATATATATTAGGTTCCTTTGTTGGAGTATTGTCTCCCCACAATGAATCTTTGTCATATAATATACATTTCACAGGATTAAAATTCGCACAGGTTAATTGTGTTTATAGTTCAACTAATTATCTTTTAACAAAAGTATTTAACAAATCAAATAGAAAGACAAGTGCATTTATTTCAGGAGTTTGTGCAGGTTTAGTGTGTGTTAACAGGTATAAAATAATAGGATCAGTAATGTTTGGTACATTCGCAAGTATAACTGACTTGTAATTAATAAAAAGTGATTAAAAATTTTATTAGGAATTTTGAGTAAAAGCTTCATAGAAAGCGGTGTATTCTTCTGCTGTCATTTTATCGTGATCTTCTTGAGTTATTTCAGAATAAAATTTAGGAATTCCATTAACAGATAAAAGAATATCATTTTTAACTGAATTTTCTTTCTTTTTAGATTCAACAGAATCTTCTGTATTTTGAATAAATTCTGACTCTTTCTTCTCTTCTTTAGGTGTTTCTTTAATAACAATCTTTTCTGGTTGTTTCTTTGTTTTAATCTTCTCTAAATCAAACATGTTTACTGGTGGTATTGAATAATGAGATACTTTCTTTAATAAATTAATTACTGGTTCTAAATTATCCATCAATTGTTTATGATCAATATTATACTTATCTTCTGTAAGTTTATACTCTTCTAATTCTTCTTTACAATAATAACAAATAAATTCTGTTTTCTCCATACATAGTTGTGCATCTAATGCGGTGTAGATTTTATTACATCCTTTACATACAAATTTATCCTCTCCTTCTATGTTTTGAGATTCTAACAACTTAGACATTTTATATATTTTGTATTTAATAATATCTCTTACCTCTGCAAAATCAATATAATAGTAGGTTTTAATGAACTGTCTTCCATCTCCTTGTATTTCTATTTTAGAATCACATCTAATAATTTTATCATCTTTTAGTCTTTGTAGCATTCTATTAAATTCTCTTGATAGAAAATGCATCTTTGAACATATTTCACTTTCACTCATCACCATCTCTTCAAGTAAAATATCTACTATTACTATATGTCTTGGCTCATAAAAGGTTGATGTGACCATTTTTATTAATTCTTTCATTTTTGGATAATAATCCTCTTCTTCCATATAAATTCTAAAATTTTTTATTAAATTAATTTAATTTCTCAATTTTATCAATCAGTCTATTCTTTTTTGTATTTGAAAGTGTTTTTAAAATTTTAGGATCAATAAAATCATAAATATCAGGAAATGGTGAGACATGTGCAGGTAAGTTTTTACCAACTAAATAATCTGATGGATCAAGTATTTTTTGTGTGTTAAGACAATCAAAAATATACTGTGATTGAATGAATTTTTGCTTAAGCAGAATGTTTTTTTCTTTTATTATCTCATCAATATTTTCTGTTATTACAAATTCAGCATTTTATTTTTCAACTAATTTACCTCCCATTGCTTTAATAGTGAACTTTAAGTGATACTGAATTGACTTAATTTGAATGTTAAATTTAACATTATCAAATATTCCTTTCTCTTTATTTTTAATTAAAGTTTTTAATTTAAAAACAGCTAATTCAACATGCTTTTGTAAAATTGGTGTAGCAAATTTTAATTGTTTAGCTTCTACTTTACTGTTTTCTACATCAATACTACTTTCTTCCATTTCAGAAATATAATCAATTTCATCAGAATAATCAATTTCTTTTTCAAT